CCTGGCAACATTCCAGGTCAGGTTGGACGGGGCTCTGAGCAACCTGATCTAGTTGAAGATGTCCCTGCCCACGGCAGGGGGGGGGGACTAGAAGAACTTTAAATGTCCCTTCCAACTCAAATCTATGATTCTATGATTCTAAAACACAAGTTTATATTATTTGCTTTTAATCTAGTCAACTAATTAAAATTCTCATATCTATTTTTCCAGTTCTTTACGTGAACACGAAAGGATTATTAAAATGCTTATTAAAAAGCTAAAAAAGTACACGCTATATAAAAAAATATGCAAGACAGTGTAGGATTGGATTTCAACTTGCAATTGTTTTGTGTAATAAGACAACGACACCTGTTTAGGAAGTACTCAGACATGAAGACTGAAGCCAGAAGATTTTTTTTTTTTTTTAATTCTTTTACATAAAAACTAAATTTCATAAACCTAAAAATAAAGATGTTTATGGACAAAAAGTAAACAAATTTATAGCTAATAAACTATCAAAGAAACTTTGAAATAAAAGGCAGCTTTTTTTTTCATTGACTATGTGATAACGTTTGTAACTGCAGACTAAATTATTAAGAAAATGTGGCTTCTTTAAAAATTTATATTAACTACACAAACTGTTAGAATAGTGAGCCCAGTTCTGTCATCTATTACAACACAGATGCGGCAACCTCAATTTAGCCATCAACATTAGCAATTCAAAAGTTTCCTTCTTCCTTTATGAAACCTATAAGCTGCTGTTTACATATCAAAGTGAATGCATGATACTGTATGTGGAATGCTGAAACAAACAAAGGAAACAAGTTTTAATTGACTGTCATACATACTGTTTTTACAGTTACTTTACACAACAAACATGACTGTACTAATGACGTGTAAAATGACAAAGCATATACAGCTAGATGTAGTCCATTGATTTAGTCAACTACTTTCCACCCAAGAACTGAAAACTATTAAAGATCATAATATTCTCCTAATAGAAAATTCTCTAAAGAAATACACTAATTTCAATCAAGAAAAGCATTTCAAAAGTTAGGGTCTAGATTTTGTGGTCTCTGAAATGTAAGACTTCAACTATTATAATTTTAAACTTTTATATATATTTGTGACTTTCTCTAAAAAGGGAATGGTCCCAAATATTTACAGATGTAACACTACTATATCCGAGGTACTCTCTTCAGCAAAGACTTGCTTCTTTGAGTAAAAGCTGTACATTTCTTAAAGAATTCATTTTTAGTGAACTTGGAGCTATGTAGTTCAAAGTCACTTTCTGAAAAGCCATTTCCCATTGTAGCTGATTTGTTTACCTTTGCTTTTACTGCTAAATGGCACCTTTGATGATAAAGATTAGAGTGGAAGTAATCTCTTTTTTATGTATAATGAAAAGTTCATATGACTCTGAACTCTGCTCACTTACTGGTAAATTATGTTGCAGGTCTCTTGAACCATTTCAGCAATTATGAGCCCTAGGATGAAAATCCACAGCAATACTCCTTTTGTCCTTGCAAAGTAGAAATGCTTTCACTGTATCGTCAGCTGAATTTATATATTTCTAAATAACTTCTAACTTTCTAATCCCAACAATAATGATTACTTAGATTCAACAATCAAGACACAGATTGTCCGAATTATTCTTTGTGACATGTTTCCAATGTACCTGAATTATTTGCATACAGAAGTTAAACGTCAAAGTTTAAACCCAGGGTCTGCCAGAGATGTTAAGGAGCTGCATGGCTAACCTGCAGAATTTTGTTTTTAAATTTATTTTCAAAGTTTTTCTTTGAAATTAAGAAAACATTCAAAATATCTAATACACAAAATCCCTTACTAATAAAATACAATCTAGAAATATTATGGTAATTTCCACCCTGATTTTTTTTTTTGCTAGAATTGTTTTAAAATAACATATTCATTATGATGACCACATAGTTAAGCCCATTGTAGTTACAGAAGAAATCTAGTTCTTTTTTTTGAAACACAATAAAACTTTCAGCCTTGAAACTGAATATTTCAAAAAGTTTCCATTCTTGTCCTTCAGCCAAAGGTGTGTTGAGCAGGTGGTGAGTTGGTAAGTATATGAACAACAGGCAGACAGGATGAATATAAGTGGCAGCTGCAGTTTTATTAGAACAAAAAAAGACTCTCTGCAATCACCGTTCTGCAGTCCCACTCTACTATTAAGTAGTTTCAGCGCAGGTTAAAGGTCTTCTACCACATAGTCAAAATAAAAAGAGCATCATCTCCACTTACTCCTAACTTCCAACACCCTTCCCTCTCCCTCCATTTGAGTACTCCACAGAAACATCACCAACAGTATCAGTATCTCATTTTACCTCTGCGGATTGATTTTTTGGAAATCGCAAAAAACTGCCATCAAAATAGTAAATTCTTGAGATCATATGACTGTTTACCTACCTGTAACACTCTCAACCTCCAAAAGCTATCATCAATAAAGCTACTAGATTTGCCAAAAATTTTCCAAACTCTAAAACTGCTTCCTGATCTCAGAAAAGCTATCAGTCAGACATGCAGTATAATAAAGGATAACTCTCTTGCTGTATCTACAGGGAAGGAGAAAAGGACAGGACAGACAGGAGGAGCAAGAGTGGCTCAGGAAACAAGAAGAGCTTAAATATGAGAAGGAAAAGTGACCTAAAGTTAAGCATGTGGCCCGGTGTGCATCCCTCCAAGCTATGCGAAGGTAAAGGACTTTAGAAGATGACAGAGGTATTCAGCTTCAGCTGTAATTTTGCTGCATATGATCTCTCATACTTCTTGCCACTCATGCAAACCCAGGGATTGCTATATTCCTTATTTATTCAGCATTCCTATCATTGAATGTACTGAACAGTGCA